TTATAATTAACAGCAGTAATTCACTTCAGTGGGATCAGAGTTCAGGTATTTAATGCTTCCAGTGATCCCAAACTTACTTTCTCACTTCATATATAATTATGTCTGGATTATATCTTCTAGCAGCATCAAGTATTAGCATAATTTTCATTACCTAGGCTTTGGGGTTGGGACTTTTTTTTTTCCATTCTTCCATTAAACTAAACCATGCTAATACTGTTGACTGCTGCAGGAGAGGTTTATTCTTTGGTGCAGATGGAGAAACTGTCACAGGCAATTGTTAGGCTGACGTAAAACAGCTCGTTGAAATGTCAACCTGGAGTTACAGCAAATGTCACGTGAAGGATGACTTTCAATTTGCTTCCATGAACAATGTTTAATGATGCCTTATGCAGTTTTATAAAAGCACCTTAACACCTTTCTGATCTAAACCAGAACACTTAAGTATTCCAAACCAACAGCAGACCACCCAATACCTTTGCCTGGAAGCCTCAGCAACCCCATCTTTAGAGGGACATACTCTTAATACTATGAACATTTTAATTGCATTTAGATTATTATCTTGTGCTCCAGCAAAAAACTAGTGCATTTAATTAAAGAAGTAAAGTAATGTGGTAATTAAATATTAAATAAACAGTTATTTTTGTGTATACATGCAAAGGAACGCAAAGCATTCTTATAATGAATGCATCAATGCTAATTAACCATTAACACAGAATGACAAAATTTAGAAATAAGAGCACAGAGTTTACCAGGAATTAAACAAGTCAGGCTCTGAAAGCACAGCACTGCACTGCTTGTTATAACCATGGGCTCTTCAGAGCCTCAAACCTCTGCTTCCTCCATGCATGCAAGCACATGCTGAGGCCAGTCTGGGTCATCCAGTAATGCCAAAGAATTCAGATACATTCTCCTAAAGCTGCAGAGCTCACTGGTCAATTCAAGAAAAATATAAACTAAAAGTTATCTCCATAATTCACTTACACAGCAAAACATAGTAACACTATCATGACCATTTATTCTTTCATTTAGGCCTGGCAGAGCAATGAACTCTTCTTTTGTCTATTACTAAGCATCCTGAAAATACAAGTTATAGAAAAATCCACTCACCATGTTGAAGCAAAGACACATATTAATGCCTGACAAATGTCCAAAGAATTTGGGATTTCCTGAGAAGTTTACTAGAATAGCTTCTGACTCTCCTTTCTTTAGAGGGTGTAGTGCAATTCAGCTCTAATTACTAGGTCCAGTCTTATCACCCTGACTCACTTCAGGTGACATGAATTACCTGAGCACCTGTTTCACTTGCAGTTCCTGAGACCAATTACAATTACTGCTGGCTACTGCTGTGTGAAAGGTGGGGGTTTTTCAATGACCTACTGCCTAGAGCTGTGGCTTCCCCTATTAGCTGAGGCAACAATTGGCCTTCCCAACATCCGGTAGCTCTCCATGGTCCTTCAGTTTCTTCCACCACTTCATTCATTATGCCCAAGTTCATGAGTTTTTGCTAATCAGTACTGGCAATCTCAACATCTGGCTGTCTCTAACATATAAACAGATTTCAAGCCTAAATAATGTTTCAATTACTTCCCCTAAAGTGTTTTAACACAGATGAAGAAAAACAAGTACCAACAGTAAGACTCACTTCAGGGAGGTAAGAACAACTACCAAGCTTCATCTGAAGAGTTTCAATGGGGCATCTATAGTCAGAGTGCTGGCAAAAGCATCTCCCCTATAGACTAAACCAGAATAGCTAAACCCAAAATATAGTTTAAACTTTAAAATGGAATTACATACAGAAATTGCATTACTGAAAAATTTGTCTTTGAAACAGGATCATTATCTGAAAATCAGCTTCACAGTGAAAGAGAAGATAGACAGTGATGATATGGCTTCAACTTCCAGCTCTGCCAGAGATTCCCTATGTGAATTTAAACAAAATATAAATGTTTTGCTGTTCTCCATTTTAGAAACCAGGAGCAGCAAATACCTCTTTTCTCCCTCTCCTGACATCTGCCTTTTTTATTTACACTGTGGAGCTAAGAAGACACACAGACATGACTTAGTCAAAACACAGGTCCTGTCCTTCATTTCAACAGGAGTTCCTCAAGATCCTGGTCACTCAATTACCTCCCTCTTCTTAGTGTCTGCAAAAGAAATAAGCTAAAGTTTAATTAAAAGGAAGGTTTTTACACTTGTACTGGGAATCAAATTTCTGTTCTGTGAGGCAGAAAGGCCTAGTGACCTTCCAAGAAAAGGTTTTAAATCCCCTAAATTATTACTATTCGAAGTGATGAGTCAGATCACTGCCAAGTCATGATTTTTTCAGGACAAATACATCTTGCATTTTGTCTGTCATCTATTCCAATATTATTTGTACTACTCGATATTTATCAGGTGCTTCTTATAAAAGAGAAAAAGAGAAAGTGATAAGATTCCAGACAACCGCCTGGAAAACAATGAGCAAGGAAAAGAAGCAGCAGCTGAACACAACATACATGTAAGCAACTTCCTGAATGACTTGGCAGCCCAGTTTGTTTATCCCAATTCAAATACTAAGTACTATATTCATACACAAAGGCAGCAACTTGCTTTATTTTCAGATACACTCATCTAGGATCTCATCACTTAAAAATCAGCAGCCTTATGTGACCAAGTGCCAAAATGTTAAAAACCAAATGTACTTCCACAGATGTTAAATACCAGTGCGATGCAAAGAATCTACAATTGTTACAAAATAACAGAGAAAAGATTTCATCTGGATTTAGAATGGCCACTGCACTTGTTTTCAAGTAAGTACAGATTCCTTCCACAACAGTAAAGCTTGACATAACCCAGTTTACCATGGGTATCATGGGTTCTTAAAACTACTTAAACACAATCTGTAATTTCAGAAGAGCAGGATAAGTAATCAAGGTACATTTCAGCTTATTCAACAACACTGTCAGAAATAACAATTCCCAATTTTTGACACAAATGCTGGCCCCTATCCTGTATGAGCATCAATGTCCTGGAAAAAAAAATCAATGAAAGCTAGAATCGCTCTCTAAAGATTGAAAAATGATGCCTATTGATGGCAGAACAGAAATAAGAACAAGACTGTGCTGACAGGCTTGTTCCAAGTTTACTGGTTAATGTTTGGGACAGAGCAGTATTAGTCTAGATATCATTTGCAGAGTGACATGTATGAAAAGATAAATGTTACTGACCAAAGCATAAAATTACCACAGAATTATTTGTGGTAGATGCTTAAGTAGGAAACAGTGGCTTGACAATGCAAAGCTAGGATGGATAACTGCCATTTTCTGGGAGAAAATCAGGAAAATTCTATGCCTAATAATATCCTTTCTTAAAAACAATCCAAAACTTATCAAAAATAACTAGATAAATCCAAGAGAGGTTTATTGGTTTAACAGAATAACATAAAGTGGACATCAAAAGTCCATAATTTGCTTCAATTAAGTGAATAGGAATATACAACTCCCTGACACTATATAAGAAAATTCACAGAAGTGACAGACTTCTGCCGAATTTCTGCTGAAATTCAGGAATTCTGCATTTCATCCATACTCTACAGGGATAGGTAAAGCACCATTCAGGTCTTCCTGAAATGACTGAATCCACATTTAAATAGAAACCCCCCAACTAGTCATGCACTTCTCTACAAGGTTCTTTATCAGAAAATGTCCTTTTTAATGGCCCCCCTAAATACTGTGGAATTTAGCCACAGATGAAACTTTTCAGTCACCAACAGCTTCATCAAATATATAAAACAAATTTCAGCAGTTTAATCTTCCTCCTTCTTTGACAACATTTCCATTTTCCTCCACTTTACCTCCTTTCTCCTCTGCAGGATGATGTATCATTGTTTGATGTGCCTTCACTATTATTAGCCTTTCCTTGCTCATAATTAAGAAGAGTGACAAAAGTTTTCCGTGGCTGAGATTACTCTGGATTGACCACCATCTTTCATGGTGCTATGAGGAAGAATGGGTTCAATCAGTACCAAACATTTTAAAAGAAACCTTCAACAACCTCTCTAAAATCTACTCAATTTTTTAGAAGATGAAATAACTAGTGATTACATGATGAGACATTAGTAGAGGTGTCAAATATTCCTACTCACAGCAAGCAGATAGAGCACATATTTTCCTTGCAATGCCCTTTACTTTAAAACACACATTAAAAGAATTCTGTGCTCTGAACATGAGATTACTTGTGTTATACTCGAGTTCCCAGTACTTTAGAAGGTGCATTAGACCACCACATCCATTCCTACATTGCTGCAGGGTGCCAGAGCATTCCTAAATCACCTATTTCCAACAGCTATCATGATCTACATGACCTACACTCAGTGTATCTTTACTAATGTATATACTATGCTGAATAATTTGCAAAGTTTTGGTTTTCTTCATGTCATTGTCATCTTCAGTGCATTATCAGTCACTAGGACAGGCTCTCCAGGAAAATTATTATGGCACCAAGTCTGTTACAGTTCAAGGAGCATCTGAACAACATTTAGTCACATGGATCAGTTTTAGGTAGTCCTTCAAGAAGAACCAAATTGGACTTGATGATCTTTCCATGTCCCTTCCAACTGGAGATATTCTGTAATTCTATGATTTACTTTGCAGTTACAAAGAAGGCTAAATCCATGCATACAGCCACTGAGCAGAAAAAATCCTCTAGAGAAAAGAGCACAACACATTAGCATAAGCAAAAATGGGAAAATACGACTAGTAACGTCTTTAGATCACATCTGTTCAGGAAGAGGAGCAACTTTTTAAAGAGTCATTTTTAGGCAGAGGAATGAATTATTTCCATGCATGATCATTAGGGGAAGAAGTCATCCCCCAAAATGCCTTATTATATCAAATTAATTATTGATTCCCAACCAGTCAAATACATTCTTTTAAGAGTCCCTAGATTGTTTTTCCCCTCTCAGAGAGTACAAGAACACTCAGACTCCTAGAAAAAGAAACAAAATTACACACTACAACATACTGTAACACAAAATTATCTTTATTTCAAAACTGTACAAAGTATAATCATAAAGATATAATTACACGGAAGTAAACCCTGTTCTTTAAGTATCTGAATACTTTAACAATGATATGGTCATGAAGAAATACCTCTATTATTCCTCATGAGGAAATTTTATCTGATGGAGCGATACATCATGAAATCAATTGTTGTACATCTGGGAAATTTTCCAATGGAGCTCTCCTCCACAGGGGTGTACACTTTGATTTGCCTCATGTGAGTGTCTCTTCCATTTTGGTGATTCGCTAGAACAGCAATCTGGATCATAAAGGTGCGAATGGGCTTCTTGTGAGTGTCTGTTAGAGGAACGTGGATCCAGCCACTGGGTTCCACTAATTCCAGTTGCTGCCAAAAATAAGACAGAAGAGCAAAACATTCAGAAACAGTTCACATACTTCATATAAATGATCACATATTAAATCCATTTAATAAAGCAGTCTTTTTTATCAGATTGTAGTTACTTTCTCAAATTATTTTGAAATAACAGAGTTGAATACTCATAGCTAATTTACTGCTTGTGTAAATGTATACAAATTTGGTTGTCTGCAGTTGTGTTTGCTTTTGCCTTTCAGAATCTACTCCTCATTTTGTGCCCTAATCTTAAAATAAAAATCAATATAAAAGAATACAGACTTCAGTATAAATTTTAGAAAGTAAAGGTGTAGTATTTGGACCTTCTTACTGAAGAACAATACTCAAAGATGACAAAATATGCATTTTAAATTGTTTTATCTAGGCACTCTGAAGGACAATATACTAGAGTGACTTATGTAGGAAACTAAATGCACATAAAGTTCTTGGTTTTCAGAAATTTCTTAGATTATTAGGGGGACTGAGGAAGGGGAAAAGGAAGGTGACAGGAAAAAAGAGAGGATACCTCAAACTTCATCTCATGTATCAAGACAGATGCCTGGACAATTAAAAATTGCTGCACAGCCATTAAATCACATTCTAATCACATCTGACTTGCCTTTTATACAACATATCCAGCGTGATATGATGATTTTTTTCTTTTTCAATTTTAATCCTACACAAACCAATGTCAAGGCAAGCAAAGAACAGCATTTTGTTAACTCTAAACCACATCGCTGACACAACAGATTGCTGAAATTAAGCTGGATCCTATGCAGAGCTTTTGTTTAAAGCTAGATGCCCAACTTCAAAGCACAGCTCAAAACACACAGGGAAGAGCACACAAGTAAACAGAAGTCTTGGGGGGCAAAGAAAACAAAACACAAAACAATTGTCCACTAGCAAGTGGATTCACACAGCTAAGCAAATAAGAGTGCTGTTCCGAGCAGCTGAGTTCCCCTAAGGAAGATATATGTGTTTTGAGCCACTCAGAATTCCCATCTTTCTCCCAAAACTACTGCATGGCACATCTTGTCAAATGCCTTGTTTATGCTGAAGCTTTCAAAAGAGTCATCTGAGAGCTACTGGTTCAGAGGCAGCAGACACCCTGAGAAAACTACCCATGAAACAAGGAAAAAAGTTTGATAACTACTTCAGCTTAAAGTAGCAAATAGAAAAATCTTTTACACCTCCACCTTAAAAGAAAAAACAAGAAAAAAAAAAAAGACAACAAAAAACCACAACCCAAAACACTCCACTGCTGCACTCTCCAACAAATTATTTCCAAAGCATTAAATCCACTAAACCTTAGCAGCAAATCATTTCATCATTTCACTCTGGGAGCTAGACATTTCCACAAACACACAGTCACTTATTTGTTGTAGCACTGTCCCTTTCAAAAAGCTTAAATTTTTTTTTTTTTTTTTTTTTTTTTTTAGGAAACTTCAGGTAATGGCTGCCTTTATAAGGGGATAAAAAAAGATGTCTCGTTGAAGCAGCTTTACAAAGGGGAAATTTATCATAGTGAGGTGGCAGTAAACAGCTTAAACAAGGATGCTTTCCATCTTCATAGTAAACAGAGGAGGAGGATCCTCCCAACACTTTACTCTACTACTAAGGTCAAGTGACTGTGATTTTGAAGATAATTAAAAGGCTATTGCGAATTCAACTTGCATTTTAATATTATTCTCAGTGTTTGCAAATTTGGGCTGCTAATTCAAAGTGAAAAATTGGAATTCAAGAGTTAAGATACTGAGATTTTTATACTTTGGTCAGTACAAAATAGATCCATTCACACAGTAAAAAAAAGGCATGAAAGATAAAAGTATAGCATAGTTTTGAACACTTTGTTTCATCCCTGATCAAGGGAGGTGGTTATATGCTCTATTTACAGCATATTATTTTCCAGTCCTGCTACAAAGGAAACCAGTTTCTCCCTCAAGTCTTTCTACAGGGATGGACAAGTCAGTTCTTCACCTTTAAAACTGGCAACTGAGGCATTTGGTTAATTAGACTAAAAGGCTCCCTGGCTCCAGATGACAAACTTCACATACTCTGAGCCGGTTTTTACTGTCTTAAGTGAAATACAGGATTTTACAGGAGGTTTAGCTCCCACTGAGTTCACCTGCAGCTCTGCATTTCTGCAAATGGATACAAGTACTCAAGGCAGCCACAACACAGAGTCTGAGCAGCCACCTAGGAACAGTCAGTCATCTGAGTGCCTCTTGTAGAAACACCACGACTGAGCACAGACAGCACACAATTCATCAAGCACCACTGAACTGTCTTAGTCATAAAGACTTTTTTTTATTTCCCCAAATCTCAGCTTCCCTCACTCCACATTTTTCAACTTCCCTAACAAATGAATACATAACCTTTACTCCTACAAATCCTGGACTCATCTTCAGAATAGGCTCCTTTCCCCATTCCAGTCAAACAGTTGCCTCTTGGACAAAACACACAACACTTGTGATGGAAGTTGAAGGCTACAGTGTACTAAATGCAAATGTCAGAGTCAGACTTCAGTGTTTGAAAAAAGTGAACTCTTGATTTCTGCCCTCTAAGTAACATTCCTGTACTGACATTTGAGTCTAACCTTTTTTTTTTTTTTTCAAATTGATGCTCACATAGTTCATTTAAATCTTGATACTCAGTTACTGAGGTTTAAATGCAACAAAACCAAACTGAACATTCAGTAGAAAAGGAAGTGTTGTTTTGCCAGTATGATACACACATTTTCTGTGACCAAAGGAATGGTATAAACCAGATACACACACTCTCCCAAATTCCTCTCCTCCACATCTGTCATGCTCTTTCAGATGAATGAAACAGTTTCTTTTTCCAGAGGGCTCAGGTCCGTCACCAGGGAGAAGGAACGGGACATGGGAACAGGCAGGGGTGATAGAAGACACAATGCTGCCCACTCCTAGCTCAATGTCAGCACCCAGACCCAGCCAGCACAACTCCTAGCAGAAGTGGGATGAAATATGCAGCTCTACCCTGCCTGGAGCATTCCCAGTGTGAACAGAATCTAAAGGAAGCTTACTGTGAAGTTTTAAGAAATTCCTATTAAGCCCATGCAAATGGCAATCTTTCAAAGCCTTGTAAACTGGTCTGGAAATTTGGGTGGATTTTTACAGGGAGGCAAAAGGCACATCCTCAACACAAAGGCTGAACTCTTGCCAAATTTCAAATCCTTGCTTTAGAGCTTGGGGGCACTGGAGCATCAAAGGACAACACCAGAATATTCTCACACAAGCAAAACTGCATACTTTTCACTAGCCTTATTCTTGGAACAGAACTGCTTTGGCTGAAACTTTTAAAAAATTCAACCCAAAGCAGATATCTGGCATGGAAAATCTGTCTGTATTGAACTTTGGCAAAAGTCAAAGTAATCAAGAGTTAAGCCTTAAAATGGAAAGGGTCACACAACCTTAAGTACAGGGGACACTGGCAGCTCCACCCATAATAAATACTATACTTGAAATCCATTTCAGTTCCTTTGCTCAAAGTCAAGCTTCTTCTTTAAAAGCACAGACCACTGTATATATATATATATATATATATATGTATGTATACCTATAGACACACACAAATATATTTATATTTCACCTCAACTCTATAGCATCAGTCAACTATGAGCAAATACCAGATTAAGTTTGCTCCTGTATTTGTAATCTTATGTAGATCATTAAGATCATCACTCAATCATAATTAACTGTCTTCCAAGAAATCTTTTAAAATCAGCTTAATTACTAATCACCTGAGTGAAATTAAAAATTCAACATTTCTTTCTGTTATGTGTTTTTCTAGAAAAGTTTTTTTTTAAAAAAAGGAAAATGTAGGAATGAATCAGTGCAAGTTCAGTATTGGTAACTCAGGACAGTTCCTGCAGCTCTAGATTAATCTTACTGTACAATATACTAAAAGCCCAGAGTTTGTGGCTTTTTTATATTTGCTTCTAATACTATAAATTTTGTGACAATTGGAAAACAAGAAGACCATGAAAGTCAAAATAAAAGAACAAAGGGATAAAAATTGAAATGGAAAAATCACTCACTTGTCCTTGCTGCTGTTATATTCTAGCTCTTCTCCTGCTTTCTCTCCGTTGCTTTCTTACTTTTCCTGTCCTCAGCGTGCTACAGCTTTACCTATGGACGTATACTCCCAACTCCAGGAATCCACATTATTTGGAAAGCCAAAGGAAAATTAATGTTCTCAATGGAATTCTCCTCTCCAGCCTATTTAACAGCCCTTTTTCTTCACTTTATTGTACAGTCCAGATATTCTACAGAACTCCATACATATTTGGCAAGGTTACTATTGCAACTAATGGGAGTCCTACCATAGAAGATGCAAACCACACAAGAAAAAAAATTTAAAAAAGAAAAAAAGACCAAGGTAACTTGAGGCCACACTTCAGAGAGATGACTGAACACAAGACCAGCACTTTTAGGAGAAAGCTTCTACAATCGCTAGCCTCCATATAGGCTATTGTATTGATCCTACCTAAATTGATTATTGAATTGAATATTGACCTCTTTTCCATACTCACTGATATTTTGTTTACATTCTGTGATGTCTTCAAATGGCATTTAACTCTAACTGCTACTTCTACTAGGGTTACAAATGCAACCTAAGTTTTTGGCTATATTTACAGTAGGCTAATATCCTTGAAATAAGACATGATTTTTCCTGCCCTTTAAAGGTGTCTTTTATGAAGTTATAGAGGGGGAAAAACTCACTATAAGTAGTTTCAGTGTAATTACAAACACATCCCAGATGTATGCTAGACAAGGCTCCCAGCTCAGGGGGATAAATATATATAGGAAGAAAAAGCAAGTTGTTTTTTTTCTCTGGGAAGCTCATGCAGAAGAGGATCTACGTACTGACAGAAAGCTGGGAATTCTTCCTGCCATCACAGCTTCAGCATGAAACATGATTCTGAGATGTTTGTACCTCATCGAATTTCCATTTCATCAACTTTACTACTA